GGAAATTTCTATAATTCATGTGACAATTACAGATTAGGCTGTTCTGATTATGTTTACTTGCAAGGTAGAGGGAAATTGCATTCAGTGTAAATGTCTAGAATGACTGACATCAGAAGCAGTAAAAACAGAGAGAGTGGAGAATCAGCAATCACGCTCTGATTGGTCTTCCGAGCATTCAGAACAATCAGTCTAAACAAGACTGAAGACATCTTGTGTTCAAAGGTGTGACGTTTTGAAGTAAACTGTAGATCATATTTTGAAAACTATTTGAAGGCACTGCTGGGGTTTCAGAATTGTTTCTTGGCCATTTCTTTCTTTAGCAGCTGCTTAGCAACACCCTAGCAACACCCTAACATTTTCAGAGGGGTTGCAGGGGTGTTGCTATGCAGTTTCTTCCTGGTCCAAGTCTAACTGGTCCAAAAATTGGTTTACATAGTAGCAGTGGCGTAGACAGGGGAGGGGCCATGGGGGCACTTGCCCCCCCTGAAAACTGATTGGCCCCCCAGTGTGCCCCCACCCTTCAACGTGTCTGTCAGTCAAAAATTCAAATCATATCTTTCGGCTAGCATTTGAATTCCGCGATGATCTGAACAACTGGAGCTGCTGTTTTCCAATGAAAAAAGCACATGGTAAGTTGATCTATTTTATATCCCTTATTATTATTTTTCAGTTAGCGAGTTGTTGCAGCGCTAGATTTTGGTACCGTCTTTCAGTGTTAGGAAAGACCAGGTTTGATGTTAGTTCCTAGACCAAGATAATAATCAGAATGTTCTGTGGCTGAATGTAATACATAATAAATAATGAACACAATTATTGGTTTTCCTGCTTTGAGATTTCTTTTTTTCGGTCGATACAGAAGTGGTCTTGAGTTAACGTTACGTGACTGCACTTGCGAATTTAAAGATTTCTAATAACTTCACTTTGATTTGAGAACTCTAAATTAAATCTAAATTAAATATCACTTGACTCGATATGACTTTATAAGAATTATAATTAAACAAACAAAAAATTTTTTTAAAAATCTTTGCGACAATAGCCTATACAAAATGCAAGCCACAGAGCCCTCTGGTCAGATCTATGCGGCTGCATGACGCTGTGCAAACACAGAACAATATAGGGGTAGAGATAATCTACGAACAAATTTTGGGGTATGCACAATATGCAACCCGAGCATGACCTCGAACTTCGTTCACCACATGTACAGTATGGGTATGCACCTGTTTCTTATGGATTATTTGACTAATATCTAGAGCTTATTAAGATATTTTGTGTAGCTTGTGTTTTATAAACCTTGTTAATAATCATTAATAGCACGTTTTGTAGTTTCAACAATGTGACCAATGTCAAATTTAACACGAATAAAACATCAGATCATGCACAGACTATCCTGTCTCTTTGAATTTAAATCTATATTTATTCACACAGGCTCTTGAAAACCTCTATGCGAACACACTTGCCCGAAGTGCGGGGGACGAATTTACGTGATATTAAAAGTGGGGGGGACACGTCCCCCCGCGTCCCCCGCGTAATCTACGCCCCTGCACACACACTGACACACGCACACACACACTCTCTCACACACACCCTCACACACAGCACTCTCTCTCACCAGCCTTCTGATGACCATCAACTGCCGCTCATCAGCTTATCAATCAGCCCTGCATTAAAGCACGCATAACTCTTCTCTCCTCGTTTGAACTTGAACTTTTACCTGCTATACTCACCATTGTGGATAGCCTGTAAGCAGTCATTGTCTCCAGCGATGTCCCTTGTTGACTTCACTTTGTTAAACACCTGCAAACCTGTGTGTATCATACCGTCATTACCTGGATACTTACCTGTGTTTGCTGTGATGTGTGCTTTCTGCCATCTTCCCAATGTGTGCACTCCACTTACCCCGTGAAAGAAAAGGGCGCATTTATTATTACTCCTTAACCATTTCAATTAATAATCAATTGCAATACTTACCTTTTTCTCCAACTGCTCAGTAAACACCCGTCTTGATACGGTATCCTCTGTTTCAGTCTAGTTTATGTCCTGACAATAATGTGTGAATAAAGGGTGACAGATTTAACATTTGAATGGCTAAACTATTCATTTACCAGTTAATTACAGAGATGAAGTTTTTGCAATCTGCCAATAAAACAATAGCATTTAAACAAATAATAATTTTCCTCTTTTTTACCTCTGTTATCTCAGACAGTGATGGATGAACAGGATGAAAAGGCAGGGAGATATTCAGTATTTTTTTGCAAAGAAAAAGCCATGCCAGCCAGTGAGGGAGAGTCAGTCTGATGGTTTACACGCAGTGATTTCAGAGCCTGGCTGCTCAACAGGAGACATCTTGGTTCAGGAAGATGCGAGTGTAGGTCAGAACAGCCCCGTACACCCTCAACCAGGTTAATAGACCAGCTAGAAAGTGGACAGTGACATGAGTTTGGGTATATTCGGGGCGACACATTTGCTTTAATCAGAGAAGTCCCTATATTGATATCCTGGTACTAATTTCAGTATCGTACAGAAAAAGTGCACTCCTGAGTGCTATTCTAAACTATGAATGCATAAAATCCAAATCACACTAAACAAATATCATGATCTGTGGTTAAAAACCATGTATTTTACTAATATGCCTCTGTATTATAGCTGTCTCTAGGGATGAAACAGATGACAGTGACAGTGATGTGGAAGAGATGGATACTCATCACCCACCTTCAGAAGCGGAGTCTGAGGTTCCACTCACATCTGACACTGCTCCAACTGGACCTGATGGTATGTCTTTTT